TGACCGAAACAGTTCATGCATCATGGCTTTCAATTTAGGAATATAACTATATCTCAAACTGGAGTGTCTCAAACCTCTCTATCTTTTTGGGCGAGATTTTATTTCACATCCGCAGCCGCACATCACCACCTCTATAATTATGTCGCGCACTAAAGCAACCGTGTTCTGTCACAAAGAAAAGCCATTATTAAAGCCAAGAGCATCCCTCAGCTAACAGGACACATAATTCTTCTGAGCATCCAGTTATGAAAGAGGTGCTGCACACCACGTCTATTATGAACTTGCTCAAGATGTTGACAGTCACAAATCCAACAGATCCACCAACACATGTGTATTTACAAAGACGGTTAAACACACAGACCTTTACAATAACCTCAGCATGAATCACTGCAACCAAGACCTGCATAACCTGAAGCTGTTTAACAAGCAGCAAACATCACTAATCTTTCCTTCCAGTGTCGGTGCTTGCTTGAACATTTTACACAACAGCCAATCACGTAACCACACATGCAAGCAATCAATACAAAGTGTCTGCAGCATGGAAAAAAAAAACTAATAAATCACAATTAAATTCTTCAGAACAATCATATTGATTGTGACAAAAATACATGCATTAATTTTGCTCTGCAGAGACATATTTAATGCCCTTTTTAGCTAAAAAATAAGCCAACCAATAAATACATAAATACATCATATTCCATTGTTTTCAATGACAAGCTGTAAAAAAAAGTTTGAAGCTGATGTGTGATGCTGTAAAATTACTAAATGAGATACTATAAGGTAAGTGAATCATGTTACAAAGATGTCATTCTTATAAAAAACATAATTTGGAGATAAAATCATCAATATAAAAACAATATGTTTAATATTTGAGCTATAAATCTGTCACGACTCCACTTGAAGGCAAGAGATATTGGCTGGATGATATGAGCGCTCACAGTATGATGTTCATAAGTGTGGTTGCTGTTTATAGAGGCCTGTCCTCCTGAGGGCAGAGACCACATGCATCACAGCAGCTGGTTTGCACACCTACTCGTGGCCTTATGCAATAAACACAACACTATTTGTTGCCATACACAATCACTATCTGTGGTTGCTCATGATTAAAGGAGCTCATGCAATAGAGACGTGCACATTATCAAGTGGTGTGAAGAGAGAGATCAAAGAAAATTCCTTTGTTAACACCTTGTTTTTTTTCTCTATCACCACAAGTTAGAATGATTATGATTTGGCCACTCATAATCAGTCTTTGCATTCATAATCACAAGAGTAAATTAAAAGCATTGCCTTTCTTAAATATGGACATGTACAGTTTTCTTTCCTATTAATTGTGAACACATTTTCTTTTGAAACAAAAAGTCAGGTACAATTGAGCTTGCTTCTTTAAACGAATAAATAAGCAAATAAATTATAATTATTTAATGTGTGTGTTAGCTTGGTCCATTTTCCCAAAATAGAGAACTGTATTTTAAGCAACGTGGTAAAACAACATTTCATTAACTTTAATATACACTAGCTATATATATATATATATATATATATATATATATAAAGAAATTAATATTTTTATTTATCAATGATCAAAAGTGACAGTAAAAACATTTACTATATTAATGTTACAGATGATATGATTTGCATTTCAAATAAATGCTGTTATTTCGAAAAATCCTGAAAAAACTGTATCACAATATTCACAAAAAAATATTAAGCAGCACAACCTTTTTCAACACTGATAATAATAAGAAATGATTCTTGAGTGTCATGTGACACTAAAGACTGGAGTAATGATGCTGAAAATTCTGCTTTTACATCACAGGAATAAATTACATTTTAAAACATATTAAAATAAACACATTTATTTATAATTGTAATAATATTTCGCAATACTACGGTTCTTACTGTATTTTTCAAATGAATGCAGCCTTGGTGAACACAGGTGACTATCAAAACCACAAAAAATTATACAGATTAATTCAAAGCTAAATTGAAAATCACAGTTTTGATTTCACGGTGTCTTTTTTATTGTTGATAGCATGGCAGATGTCACTGAACTGTAATTCATAATTTTTTCATTTATTTTGTGCCCAGAAATGTGTTATATATATTTCCTGGTTAGTGGATAGTGCTGTAAATTCTAACCAGTGGCGATTCAAAAACTACACAATTGTTTAAATATTTTAAGGACAGCAAACAGAGACATTGAAATGATGTCTGTTCTACTCCATCTTCTCGCACTATTTCTCTCTTTGAGGTTCAATATTGGGAATTGGGCTCTTGTCTCTAAATGAGACGTGTTATTCCTCATGCTCTTTGAACATTGCAAAACAGTATCAAATCAAATGAAATTCTGGCTGAACAGAAACAGCACCTGTCAACGCACCTAAAACCTTATACCATGCAGTGATAAAACAATCAATCGCAATTTGCACCTCTCTCTCATCATCTTCAGCAGACGGCCACTTCTCATTCATGTGAGGATTTGTTTTTACTGCTCTTTTGCTCACAGTAATGCTGAAGGTTTAGAGGCGTACAATAAAACACAGAAGCAAATGCCCGTAGTCTTTCACAAAAAAAAAAAGTCCCATTGAACTCATTAATCGTGTTTCACTTCCTCTGTCTGCCTCACTAATCAAGCGGCATAATGAAATGACACAGCACTGCCCTTCATGCCGACGACTCCATTTCTGAGACGCTCACATGCATTAAGTGACATGTCTGCTGGGCCTGGAGTCAGCGCTTGGCTAATTCATTATCTGTGCGAGGCAGCAGACAGTCTCGGTTAAATGGCTCGGCGGGAACTGATGCATGCAGCTCATACCTGCGTGTTCCTCTGTGAACTGTGCCGATTACTGACATCAGACTCTGCAAGATAAACACTGCTGTTCAGACCAGAATGTCAGTGCTGATAACCACCGACAGCACTGCACATCTATAAGAGTAAGACAGCAGCCAATAACCCAATCAATACATCTGTGAGCAGATCATCCTGTGTTTCACATGAGAGATGCAATATAGTAATCTATTTTTTATGTGTCTTTCGTCTTCATGAGTCTAATTATATACAAACTGTTTTGAAGATAATAATTACTGTGGTGCAATAACCAAAGTCCCTTTAAGACAAGTCATTTCACTCGGCGGCCATCTTTGAAACGTCTCTCGGGCATGCAAGTGCAGCTTTTATCTCTTTGAAAGGGGAAACATCAAATTCTCCAAAACAATTTCATATTTGAAATCACCAAAGAAATCTGACAACAACCGTCTCATAAATGTTGTTTATTTTGCTCCAATTGCATTAAAAAACTTATTTTTCAGGCTAGACCAGCCAATGCGCATGCACAGTCCTAAGCGCACGTCTCCAGAATGCTGACTGTTTCTATAGCAGCCGGGACTTCTAACGGCAGCTCCAATGACTTTACCGATTAGTGATTGGCTCTTTTATTCAGAAGGCGGGGCTTCCTTCAATAGAGCGGCCATATTGAGTGTTTCATTTTTCCCCATTCAAAACTATACGAGTGACACGTCTTGGGTATCCTATAGTCTTTGGCAATAACCAAGCACATTATAGTAATTTATTGAAGTTAATTACTGTGACAATCACATATTAACAAGTATTATGTAATTATTGTCCACAAATCATAGATTAAACATACAAGATCTCTATTAAATCTTTGTATATGAACATTTGTTGGAAATTGAGGCCAGTGTTTAGGAGTAGCAACCCTAGTTGTCGACACTAGTACACTAATAGTTTTAGTAATTTTGTTACTGTTATTTGTAATTTTTGTTTGCTTGTTTTTAAAATATGTCTGTATAGTTTTAGTTTATTTAGTTAAACAAAGATGAGAAATGTTGCCTTGTCAAGGTAGCTGAAGTATATATATTATTTTTAATTTAAGTTGTCATATATAATTTTATTTCAGTTAATGTTTATTTTATTTCAAGTATTAAAAATGTTTTTAGTTTTAGTTTATGATAATAACCCCTGATTTAACCTCATTAAAATGTTTGTTGTTGTTGTTGTTTTTCAAATAAATTGAAACCATTAAATCATCTAATAGTTCTTTCCCTATTAAAATTTCAAGCTACGTTCATTAGAAGACTGTGGTGTAGCAGTCTTTTATAAAAACGGTAGCTTGAGTGTAGTTTATATAACTGTAGAAATGAAAAGATTCTTGAGGTAACTCAAAAGTGATCCCTAATGTTGTGGGTGACGTCCGAATGTTCACAAACACCAGTCCTCAGCTATTTCAAACTTCATTGTACCCCTGAGTGAAGAACCATGAGTATACCGCAATGAGCACTAATTTCTAAGTTCTTCAAAGAACAGTCATTTTTGTTTGTGTGAGAAACCCAAAATGTTCCCTCAAGTGTCTTCTCAGTTTTACAGTGCAGTTTGTGGCCACACAATTGTCTGTAGTCTGATTATTCTTGACAAATAACATCCATTTTTATCAACAAACAGAATTTAATTTTGAATCATATTGAGATTAAACAGTTTTATCTCTCCAGCAGCAGGTTGTGGGCAGCAGCACGGCTGTGTATGTCAGACAGATGTGAGTCTGAGCTGCTGCAGATCCATCTTCATCCACTCTCAGAGCTCACACAGCTTTATAACGACTCAGAGAAAAGTACACACCTAACGGCCGCATTAGGGCCCAGGGAACATGCTGCGTGTGATTAAGATCAGACACTGACAGCCTCCAGGAATGGATGCAGAATACTAATTTTAGTGCTTCAGTTATCACATCTATCTGCTGCCTACTCACAAACACTCAGAGTTCAAAACAAGTGGCAGCGGCCACATAAATACACAAAGGTTATATACGTTCAAGTACACAGCTAATACTGCTTTCAGTCAGAGGTGGCCAGACATACATTAGATAAGAAAACTATTTTCCATCTTCTCTCATAGATGTAATTTCAGTCAACTATGTAATTGAGATCATTTGTTGAACACTGTATGCAGTAAAAACATGAAGGCAACTCACCTTCTTGGTTTTATCCATGGCTTTCAGTATGGATACGTTCAGGTCTTCCAAGGCAGCGAGGACATTTTCATATTCTCCAAGATGCTGAGAGAAGTATTCTAAAAGAAAGAAAGACTATTTAAAATATTAAGATACATATGACAATGTTTTCATAAAAACACATTTCAAACATTACTTGATAAAATAATGTCATGTTTTGTTAATGTTGGAAATAATTCTATGCGTTACCATAGAATTAGAATTTCTATAGAATATATTTTCATTGTTCAAAGCAAATTAGTAATTGAGAACTACTGTAAAATATGTACAGTATATACACTGTATTCATCTAATGCAAAATGTATATATTTATACTTGATGTTTGCACTTTTCATTGTAATACTTTACTACTTTACTTCATAAGTTACTTTCTTCCTTTCGTTTATTGAGGTTGGTAGGTTTTATGCTTATTGAGGCTGCATTTAATTGATATAAAAAGTAAAAAGAGTCATATTGTGAAATATTATTACAATTTAAAATAATGGTTTTCTACTTTTATATCATTTAAAATGTAAATAATTCCTGTGTTGTCAAAGCTGAGTGTCACATGATCCTTCAGAAATCATTCTATTATGCTGATTTGCTGCTCAAGAAACATTTATTATTATCAGTGTTGAAAACAGTTGTGCTACTTAATATTTTTGTGGAAGCTGATACACTTCCATTCAGAAGTTTGGAGTAAGAAAGTATTATATTAATACTTTTATTCAGCAAGGATGCATTTAAATTAGTCAAAAGTGACAATAAAGACATGTATAATGTTACAAAATACAGTATTTCTGTCTCAGATAAATGCTGTTCTTTTGAATTAATCAAATAATCCTGAAAAAGTATGATGATTTCCACAAAACTGTTATTTATAATAATTTATGTTATTTATAATAATGAGAACCATTATTTATAATTGAGAATCAATAATAATTAAGCGGCAAATCAGCATATTGAAATGATATCTGAAGGATCATGTGACACTGAAGACTGGAGTAATGATGCTGAAACTGAATTATTTTCAGGATTCTCTGATGAATTGTTCAAAAGTACAGCGTTATTAAATTTCACTGACCCCAAACCTTTTTTATTTATTTAAATGATTTATTATAAATAAATGATCTTCCACATATTTACTGTATATAAAACAGTGTAATACATTAGCCCATTTAAGCCCACCGGCAACTATAGTTGCCGCAGTTTATTAAAAAATTAACTTAAATGATTTTAGCAAATGGCTGCAATATAACAAAGAGTGAAAAATTTAAGGGGGTCTGAATACTTTCCGTACCCACTGTATATATCTACATAATCATGAAGCTCTCTAGAATCATCCAAACAAAACAAATCTTCCAGGAGATCTATAGTTTTTTCTATACTTAGTCAAAAGTCCAAGCGGCAACTATAGGTACTGCCCCACTTCTGTGTCTGCTTTTGTCATGGGGGGTGGGAATTTCTAGTTTTCAAGTGACAGCAGCAGTTTACAAACTTCTGTCAGTCACACAAAATGAAGAATGGAAAGATAAAGAGCTAACACATGGGATTAATTGCTGTAGATTATCTTTTCTCCCTTTTATGACATTATGTCTTGTAAGGGGCAAAATATTGAGCCCCCTTTATCCAGTTTGGATGCGTTTCATTCTAATTGGTCAAGGACCCTAATTCTTTTTATGACTAGTAGCTTATGATTCCATTATAATGTTGAAATTCAGACAAGTAATGAGTTTACATTTACATTATTATATGAAATCACCTACTACAGTCAGCCATTGAATACTATGGGCCTAAAAAAATGCTTAATTTTCTTTCAGGTATACCTTTTTTATTATACAGATGTAATATTTTCTTAATTCTATTTATTGTTATTTATTTATTTTCATTTAACCAACACACCTCTAAGAATGAAAATACCTGCATGTTCAATAAGTAAATAAACAATCATGGGTGTAGCCTACACTTAATAATTATTTAAATAATCATATATTTTAAAAAGAATATCATTCATTTCATGAATATCAATGACTTTTGTCAGGGTTAATCCATTTGACCTAATCAATATGTGCCTATTCATAAAATGTGCAATATTACATATTTAAATCACAAAGTATAATATGCAAATATGTTTATGTAAATTTACAACTACTTATAAATTTGTTTATGAATAAAGATTGATCTGTTGAAAGCAGTTATTTTGAGTTAGATGCCAAATGCTCTCCTCCTATTGAAATTTGACATTGAAGGGGTGCATACAACATATTTGCCCACCGGCAACTATAGTTGCCGCACATTCAAATACGATTTTCAAGAAAAAAAACAAAAACCTGGGGAAAATAAATGCAGAACATGTTCAAATAGGACACTATTAACATGACTATATGCATGAAACCAATCAGAAAAATTTGGGCACAAATGGGTTACAAGTAAAACATAATTTGAACAGAATTTTTTTTTTTTAAATTAAAGGATACCTGAGACAGAGCCCTCTGGAGAACCTCTAGGCAGCCTGTAAAGATGCCTTAAATATCCTATTGTTTATTCAAGTAACTTCATATGTTTGTGAGTGCTTCACTTATGTGGAACCGTTGACAGTCTTTAGATTTCCTGCAGGATCATATGACTTCCTCAGTGAACTGTCATTTCTGAAGTGTGTCTATAGTTTCTCCAGAGGGTTCAGAGGAACCCCAGATGCTGCCTCAAGTATCTTTTCATCATTACAGTGAACCTTCCAGTAATACTGTCAATAAAAAGTATGAACTCTTACCACACAGCTCATCCGTGTCCACATTGCTGTAAACAGACCATAAGCAGACATGTTAATTTCTTCTCCACAACAAAAGACATGTGAGTTGCATCTAAACGTGATCCAATGTTTTGTGCTGATTTCAAGCTATGCAGACAGTACCTCACTCAAAGGCAGGTTCTGTGATGTTTGTCTCATGAGAGAGGGTCATATTTAGACAGCTAATCTCTAACCCTGAATAACATCCACCAGGCAAACACTGAGTCCACTGACAACTCCATGTCTCAACCCTGCTCTGACGAGAGGCTCAATGCCGTGAGCTAAAGTCATCATCGTACCGGATGAGAGTATAAAAGTCAGAATACAACATATGTAATGTGTAATTGTAAAAATCTATATATAATTTTGTATATCAGTATTTTTCTGCTTTAAAAAAAAAAAACTATGATTTTAAGAAATTAACATTTTGACACAAAATGTTGAGAGGGAACATGCAAATTGTCTGAAAAGTAAAATTTTGTTTTACTTTCGCTATAAAAAAGCATATTTATAGCACACATATTTATATTGAAAACAATTTTGTATTTGTATCGGAAAAAAATAATTATGATTTTAAGAAACTAAAATATAGGAAGCCAAAATGTAGTGGTGATGAATGGGAACATGCAAATTGGCTGAATATATACATATATACATATATATA